TGAACTACCCTGTTGGACAATGACTTCTCGAAACACGTCAAGGCTGATGTTTTAAGCTGCCGCGGCATGGGCGCCCTCCATCGTGTAACTGCTGGATGTTTCAATGATCGTGCGCGGCGCCAAAACCAAAACCCAATGTTGTCCAATTTTGAAAACGAAAGGGCCGTGAACGGCGGCTCGCACTGAAATCAGACGTTACCTGTTTTGAAAAACACCCTCCAAGAAAACGGACCCGGCGACACGCTTAGCTTAGCGTTCCCTGCCCATGTCGGCACACCCCTTGCAGGGGTCGCACCCTCCACAGGGAGCTCCACCTACGTCCCCAGAGAAAAAGGTTCGCGTAGTGGCACGCCCCTCATGCGCATCGTGCCCCGCCAGTAACTGCATCTGCGGCACCAGAGGGAAGCTTGATAGCGTCGTCCCGCGCGTGTCGGCACAACTCACACGGATCGTGGCCCGCACGGAGTTCCATGGACGGCCACAGAGACAACATTCGCATCCCGCCCCCCCCGCCTACTTCGGCACACCCCATCACACGGATCGTGGCCCACAGGGATCTCCACCTACGGTCTCAGAGGCAGGGTTCGCATTGCGCCCCTCCCGCCCATTGCGGCACACCCCATCACGCGAATCTTGCCCACAGGGAGCAACGCCTACAAGCCCAGAGACAGGTTCGCACAGCGACACCCCCCATGTCGGCACACCCGCCGAGCGAATCATGCCCCAGAAAAAACTCCACCTACAGCACCAACCTGCAGCCTCGCATGGTGCTCCCACCGCCCATCTCGGAACACGCCTCGCACGGATCGTGCCCAGAGGAGCTCCACCTGCGGCCTCACTGGGGGGATTCGCGCGGGGGTATCCGAATTATTCGACATGCCCCTCACGCGGATCGTGGCCCACAAGAGGAGTAGACGGAGGAGGAGGAGGAGGACGAGGAGGAGGAGGAGGAGGAGGTCTCTTTGGGGCTGCTGGAAGGCCTCGTGGAGAGCATGCTCTTCGGGAGCTCGGAGCCTCTTGGGGGCTGTATTTGGGAAGCCTCGCAGAGGCTTCTTCTTGGGGGCCCTTGGGGGCCTCCTGTAAGGAAGAATCGCTCCTCAACAAACGTCGGCATTCCCGAGTTCCGGCTTACTCTTAAGTCGGGCGTGTCTCCCTACAGGGGGATTGTGGACGACAAATGAAAAATAGTCCAACAATACCCCCAATTCATCAAACAATGCTCAAGAGATCGTCCCCAGACTATTTTCTGACTATTCTTGAATGTTCCTCCTGTAGAGGGACAGGCTACGGGGGACTCGGGTTGACCTGACGGGCCCTTCATAAAAATGGCGAGACCTGATCTGAAATTTGACGCGACCTCCCGCTGCAAACATCCCACATCGGGGATGGACAGACCTCCCTTTAGTAAAACGTGGTTTAGTGAAAACGACCTCGGGCCCAAACCTGGCGGGCGCAAGCCTGGAAAATAATGGCCGCGGCGCCCTCTCGAGAACCGAAAACGGACAATTCACTACTCGACGTGTCACTGTTGGGGGATTCTGTCCAACCCCGATCCCGCTGCAAACATCCCACAACTGGACCGTTAAAATCCAGGACGAACTCGTCAAGAAACGTCGGCAGCCCCGAGCTCCGGCTTGCTCGAGTCTTACGTCTCCCGTATCCTGCAGGCCTGCCCCACGGACCCGACGCTTCCAACACACAACTCGGAGCGTCGGGTCCGCGGGGTGAGGAGTGAGGAGTGAGGAGTGAGGAGTGAGGAGTGTGTGTGGGGGGACCTCCAGGACCCACGCGCCGAAAAAACAGAAATGGCGGCTGGACAGCTGAGGCCTGTGGCCTCGAGGGCCCACCCCTTTGGCGGAGGGCTCGAAAAATGCCAGCCGAGTTCCCAAGCTCGCCATCGCTCGGACGTCCATTCTCTGTGTTTTTGTTCGGTTTCGTGCTTGGTTTTTTTCGCCAAATGATCGAGGATGCTCCTCGATGGTCCTCGCCGACGAAAAAAAAGCACACGTCCGAGCGATGCCGAGCAAGAGGCCGCCTAGGTGGGGTCGGAGCAGGTGGGGTCGGAGGATCGCGCCGCATCGACGATGGATCGGCGACGCCAGCGTGGAGAAAATCGGGCTCCACATCGAGCCGCATCGCCGATGTATCGTCGATGCGGCGCGATCCTCCGACCCCATCTACTCGGACCATCTACGTAGGCCTACATTCCCCCTGTGGGCCCCTCTCGGGGCCGTCTTGGGCGCCTCACTGGACCGTCCTGGGGCCCTCTTGGGCAATCCGAGGCCCTCTTGGGGGCCCTCCTGGGCCGCCTTGGTGCAATCTTGGGAGCCTCTTGGGCCGTCTTGGACTGTGTGAAGACCCCAAAAACGAACATGCTGGAAACGCACGTCTTCCCGAAAGAATGGGGCACATTTCTCCTGGGGCTTCCTCGGGGAGCATCCCAGAGCCTTCTTGGGGCGTTTCGGGTGCCTTTCGGGGGCTCTTCGGCCGTCTTGAGGCCATGTTGGGGCGGCTTGGCCCGTGCTGCGCCGCTCTTGTCGCTGAGTCGTGCTCCCCGCAGCTGTTGTGGGCAGCAGCCGGAAGGAGGCAAGGGAGACCATGGTCTCCCTGGCCTCGGTGCACCGAGGGGGGGGATGCTCAAAAGGGGGGGGAAAGAATGCGGGAGGGTGCCCTGGTCCGGGCCCAAGGCCCCTGTAGTACCTGGGCACACGATGCATGACCATGTGGTGCAGGCGTTAAGTCGGGCGTGTCCCCCTACAGGGGGATTTTCGATGCCAAATAAACAAATACGCAAAACATACTCCGACATGGCCAACAAATACTCAAACAATAGTCCCCAGACTATTGTTTTCTATGTTTGAATATCCCCCCTGTAGAGGGACAGGCCCGACTGAATGCAAGCGACGTGGTGCAGTCCGTGCGGTGCACTTCGCGTGGTCGGAGCTGCGCGGTGCAGGCCAAGCTGTGAAGTCTATGTGGTGCAGCCTGTGCAGCGCAATCTGCAAGGGCTCCCAACTTCGCGCTCTCGCGCTAGTGCGAGGGCTCCCAACTTCGGCTCTGCAAGGGCTCCCAACTTCGCGATGCGCGAAGTGCGATTAACTTCGCGCTCTCGCGCCGCCTCCCAGGGGAGAAGTGGAGGGTGAGGAGGACGCGGAGCCGAAGCGCGAAGCGCGAATAACTTCGCGCCCTCGAGGGCGCCCTTGAGTACCTGGGCACACGATGCATGAACCATGTGGAGTCCGTGCGGTGCAGTTCGCGTGGTCGGAGCTGCGCGGTGCAGGCCAAGCTGTGCAGTCTACGTGGTGCAGCCTGTGCAGTGCAATCTTGAAGGGGCCCTGGGACAAACAAATAAATACACACAAATAACAGGATTCCCCATATTTTCCCATGTATCCTGTTTTTCGTCTTCCCCCCACTTCCCATATTTTCGCATATCTCCTGGGGAATCATTAATTGTGTCTGTGTGGTTGTTTGTCCCTCCTTCCTGAGCCATGTGATGCAAGCGACGTGGTGCAGTCCGTGCGGTGCACTTCGCGTGGTCGGAGCTGCGCGGTGCAGGCCCAGCTGTGCAGTCTACGTTAGGAGGCAACTGCTGGGAGGTGTTCGTCGGAAGGATTGAGGAGGACTAAGCCCCATTGGGGAACTGTTACGCCAGAAAGGGCCTCGGATCAAGCGGAATTCAGCCAGATTACGCCAGATTAAGCGGGATTGAGCGGGCCAGGGCTAAGTCAGGATTTGACCACCCAGGAGTTGCATCCGAATCTACGGAGGAGGAGGAGGAGGGAGGAGGAGGAAGAAGAGGAGGCGGAGGAGGAGGCCGAGGAAGGAGGAGGAGGAGGAGGAGGAGGAGGAGGAGGAGGCGGAGGGGGAGGAGGAAGAGGAGGAGAGGAGGAGGAGGAGGTGGAGGAGGAGGGTGGTGCAGCCTGTGCGGTGCAATCTGCGCGGCGTGAGCCGTGCGGCGTGGGCTGTGCGGTGCGGTCGATGCGGCGCAAGCTCCGCGGGGCGACCGCGGGGCGGCCACGGCTGGCAACGGGGCGGCCTCAGGGACGGCCTCGGGGGCGGCCACGAGGGCGGCCACGCAAAACCATCCTCGGGGTACCCACCTCCTCCTCCTCCTCCCCTCCTCCTCCTCCTCCTCTCCTCCTCCTCCTCCTCCTCCTCCTCCTCGTGCGCGCCGCCAAAGGGACAGGTCTTCGTTCCACACGGACGTGGCGGCCACGGGGGCGGTTCCGTTGCAAGACATGAGAAGCACGAAGTGCAAGCATTTGCGGGGAAATGAAGGTCAAGAAGGGGCCTCGCCCGAGTGTTGCCGAGAGCCCATCCCAACCTGCGGGTCGGCAGTGAAGAAGGTGTCCAGCTGGAGGTAGACGTGGTTGCCGCCGTTGAGCTGGTAGGACACGTAGTTCGGGAACGCGTTGTGCGCCTCGAAGATCTTGTTTGCCTCGGCGTAGAAGCGGATCCCCTCGATGTTCGGGTCGTGCGTCTCCAGGTTCGTCCAGAGGTCGTAGTACAAGATCTGCACGAGGTCGGTCTTGCTGTTGATGTTGGCGAACGCCACGCCGGGGAACCAGACCATCGCGTCGCGGTACATGTCCGTGAACGCGAGGTTAGGGGAACAAAGAGTGACATAAACATAAAAACTCCGAGGTCCGCGCGGACTTCTCGGATGGGCGCTGGGGCCCCCCGGCGGCGCCTCCGGCGCCGCCCCTGGCGCGCTCCGCGCGCCAGGGAGGGGGGTCCAGCGCCGATCCGAGAAATCCGCGCGGACCGCCGAGTTGTTATGTTTGTGCCACTTTTTCTGACCATTTTCTTAGGGTGGAGGGCTCAGGGTGAAATCCATATGGGCGTGCGCACCTCGAAAATCAATTCGTTTTGTGATCCACACCTTGCAGACTCAAGCCTCGAACATCAGTCGAAACGGCATTCCAAATTTCACCCTTTGCCCTCCACCCAGAGAAAATCCTCGGTTTTTGTTCCCCTGGAGGTCCCCCGCGTCGCACTGCTCGCCGAACCCGGCGTCGAGCACCATGGGCGTCTGGCACAGGTACTGCCTCGTGATGGTCGGCTCCATGCCTGCGGGGCTCACGCCGGCCGCGGAGTCCGCCAGCACGACCGCCGACCTGTGAAGGGGCCCTGGGACAGACGAATCAATATATATATATATATATATGTGTATATTAGATTTATATTATACTATTTATTTATATTTATATATATAGACACGAGTGGCAGGGTTCCCCATACTTCCCCACAATTTCTGGGTTGTCTGTCTTCCCCCCCCCCCTTCCCGTCTTTGCCCATCTTTTCTGGGGGATCGACGATGCATTGTGTCTGTGTGTGTTTGCTTCCCTCCCGAGACCTGTACCTGCCCGCGTAGCTCGTCAGGATCTGCCGCGCGTGGATCTGCACCGCCAGGGAGCCGGCCGAGCTGCCAGACAGAACCTGGCCCTCGTTCGGACGTCCATTCCCTGCGCCTTTTTCGGTTTCGTGCGTGGTTTTTTCACCAAGAAAACGACGCGAAGATCGGGACAAAATCGGATCGGGATAACTCGAGATCTCTGGGAATCGGCGGGTTTGGAGGATGTATTGGGCGCCGCGGCCGCTCCAGAGCGTTCCGGAACGCTCTGAGAGCGCTCCGGAACGCTCTGGAGCGATTTATCCCGATCCTAGCCCTGTCTTCGCCAAATGATCAAGGATGCTCCTCGATGGTCCTCGCCGGAGGAAACATGCACACGTCCGAGCGATGCCAAGGAACCAGGGTGTCGACCCCGGGGAAGTTCGCGAGGGTCCAGTCGAGCACGGCCCGCGTGTTGTCCAGGCCCGCCTGCCGGCCGAACGGCGCGCTCGCGTTCCCCGAGTGGGCGTCCCCGCTGCAGTACAGGACGTTCACGAGCGTGAAGTTGAGGAACGGATTGCCCTCCCTCCGCTCGAAGATGCCCTTCTGGTCCGGCAGCGCCCTGATGATGCACACCCCGAGGTGGAACGTCTCGTCGCTCCAGCACAGCCCCCCGCCCTGGAACTGGATCACGACCTTGTCGAGGTCTCCGGGGATCACCTGGAACCTGTACTCCGGCGCGTCCGGGTCGAGGCACCCGGTCGCGCCCCCCGGGTACACCAGCGTGGTCACGTCCCGCGGCATCTGGGACACCCCGCAGCCCCCCGAGGACACCGTGCACTCCCGGAAGCCCTCGGGCGTGCTGCCCGGCCGCTGCCCGGTGATCGCGTCCAGGGCCCCCTGGATAGAGGAAAAAGAACTATGCACATGCACCGATTCTGGCCAGGCCCATCCTGAGCCCAGGATCGGTGCATACGCCCTCCTACCTTGGCCAGGAAGGCATATGCACCGATCCTGGGTCAAAAACGGGCCTTGCCAGGACCGGTGCATGTGCATAGTTCTCTTCGCCCGACCTGGATGGCACCCGGCGCGCCCCTCGCCACGGTGACGCCGCAGAGCGCGGCCGCCGCCGCGAGCGCCGCCTGCATGGTGGCCGCCGCGGGGGAGGCGCAGGGGCGGCTTCGGGACGGGAGCGCCCCGCGGCCTGGAGCTCGGCGGCTCGAGGCAGAGCAGGGAAGGGAAAGCAGAGGTTTCCGGTGGACTGTGGCGGCGGGGCATGTCGGTGGTTACGGTGACAACGATGATGATGATGATGATGATGATGATGATGATGATGATGATGATGATGATGATGATGATGGTGATGATGATGATGATGATGATGATGATGATGCTGCTGGTGATGATGCTGATGATGCTGATGCGGATGGTCATGATGCTGGTAATGCTGATGATGGTGGTGATGATGATGTTGCGGATGCTGATGATAATGAGGGTGATCAGGTTGATGATTATGAACATGATGGTGACGATAGTGGTGATCATGACGATGACGGTGGCGGTGACGACTATGATTATGGCGACGATGATGACGATGGTGATCGTGTGGAGCTACCCGCTCTGCACAGCGTCCCGAAGCCAGTGGCATCCCCTCTGGCGCTGCGGTGGCAGTGCCTCGACCCGTGCCAGAGGCAACAGGAGCTACTGCTGGAGCTGGCCCCGGCCTTGCCGTCGTAGCTACCACGGCCGCTCAATGGGAAACATCTCATCGGGAAAAATCCCCGGACGACCCCGCGGACAAGCCGGACAACCCCTCCTAGATTGATACAGTGAGCTTCCCAGCATAGAATCGCGAGGATGTATCAGGCGAGACTGGCTGTACAACCACGCGCATGGCATCTATGAGCCCATAGTTGGGTGCATGCCTGAATTGAGACTGGCCAGTGACCTCCTCGAGACAGAGCACATCCGAGCCGAGAATTGCGAAGACGTCTCAGACGAGGCTGGCCGACCAATCTCTGTGGCGCGGCATCTCTGAACCCACAGTTGCGAGGATGTCTCAAGAGAAACTGCCTGAAACACCTCAACAGGGCATCTCAGAACCCACAGCCGCGAGAACGTCTCACGCGAAACTCGCCAAACAACATCGCGCGCGGCATCCTTGTGCCCAAACCTTGGACAACATCTGGAGCGAAACTGGCCGGCCAGACCACCTCAGGTCTGAGCACATCGGAGCGCAAAACTGCGTGGACAATCTTCGGCGGTGGACAAACCTCCCTTTAGTAAACCTCCCTTCAGTGCAAACGGCCTAAGACCGAAACCGACGGACCTGAACCCGCATAAATGACGGCCGTGACGCCCTCTCGCAAACCGAAAACGGCCAACTCGCTAATCGACGTGTCAGGGTAGGAGGTCTGTCCACCCCCGAAATCTAGCGCGCAGTATCTCGGAGCCCATAGTGTTGCGAGGATATCTCAGGCGAACTCCACTGGACCACCTCGCACACAACTCCTCGAAGCACAAAGCTGTCACGCCGTCGCAGGCGACGCTAGCCGGACAACCTCTCCCGCGGCATTTCTGAGCCGAGAGTCGCAGGGCAGTCTCAAGCGAACCTGGCTGGACAACCTCGCGCGCAGCATCCCCGAATCCAGAATGGCGCGGATGTGTCTGATTGCGCGGGTTGGACGACCTCGTGCGCGGAAAGTTGCGAGTATACATCAGGCGGAACTGGCGCGACGACATCGCGCGCGCCGGGCCGACAAGCTCGCGCGCCTTCTACAATTCGACCAAAGCTGCGGCGCCGCGCCTCAGGCAATCTCAGGAGAGGAGAGAGGAGGAGGAGGATATGCACGTTGCGCTACTTCAACAAGTAGACAGAGGCAGAAACCTGGTGAGGAGAGGGCCGCCCCCCCCCCTGGGCGGCTGAGGCAGCCTCTCTTACCTCATTCTGACCCTTGTGTACCAGCTACGTGCTGGACAATATTGGCATGTTCTTCTCCTCTTCATGAACTTTGTTGATGCTGGCTACTTGTACCCCCAGGCAGAAACCGATGGTATTGTTGATCATCTCATGGCCGAGGCCACCCGCCTTCCCGGGCACGGGGCGGTCGGCGCGCGCCCCCGCCCGATGCCTGCTGGTCCTAGTTGCGCGGCCATGGTGGACTACCTGCCAGACCACCCCAACCCAACCCCGAAGACCCGAATTTCGGGTTTGGGGGGGGGGGGGGTAAAAAAGGGTCACACATGTGTTTTTCCTATGTTTCCCGACCCCCCCCCCCCCGCTGGAAATCGAGGGTAAATCTGAGCCTTCGGGTTGGATTGGGGTGGTTTGGTGGGTGGTGAATGGTAGCTCCTCTCCGCTCGCCTGCTTGGGTCGCGGTTTGAGGCGACCTTCCGACCGCGGCGCCCTCCGCGCCCCTCCCCCCCCCCGGGCATTATAATCCGCCCTTTCGCCCGGGCGCGTAGGGGTCCCGGCCCATCCCCCATGGGCGCGTTGATCCAGTCCGCGAGTCCTTGCCCACGAATGGCCGCGCAGGTCGCGCCCTCCGTCTCGGCCTCGGCGTCGGCCGCCGGCGTCGCGCCTCAACGGCGCCAGCGCGGCGCAAGATGCTGCCGAGTCAGCTCTCCCTCTGCCCGGACAAGCCCTGGCGGCTGCCCACTCCTGCCCGGCGCCTGACCGCCGCCAAGTGGGATCCGCCCGCCCCTTCCCCCAGACGCGCCATCTTGAACCCATGGGTCTTCCTCGCAGGCGTGGACCATGACCACTTGTCCACGCGCGGCTGCCTGCCGCCCGCCCCCCTGGCGGGGCCACCCCCTCCCTGAGCGGCCGCGCGCGGCTGCCCTCCGGCCCATCGCTTTCGCGCGGGTGCAAGCGCACAAGCGCAGCGAGCAAAGCCGCCCACCGCGATGTCTCGTCGCGGCCGAAGCGCCGGCGCGGCGGCCGGCCGCCTGCCTGTCTGCCGAGCGCACGCCTCGCTCATGCCGCGCCCGCCTCTGCTTCGCGCGCGGGATCAGATAGCAGACTCGAAACCATGCTCACAATTCATCGGAACCGAATTGCTCTGAAATCGGCTAATTAATTCACAACCGCTTGGCTAAGCCAGCGCAACTGAACGTAACTGTAAGATCACTTTCCTGGCCGGAGACACACGTGAATCTAACTGAAGCTAACCAAATCTAAGTGGAAGCTAACCAAACCTAAGTGAATGTGAACCCTTCGCGTCGGCGGCGTTGCGCCGACGTCTTGAACCGATGCGGCCCTTCATGGGGAAATCTCTGGGAGCCGTCTTAGACATGTCTTGGTTTGCGTCCCCCTCCTTTCCCCCTTCCCCTGCCCCCGCTGCAGCCGTCCATGCCCCTCGCGTTCCCCTCCTCCTTTCCCTGCCCCCGTTGCAGCCGTCCATGCCCCCCACGTTCCCCTCCTCCTCCTTTCCCCCGCGGTCTACGCTTCGCGGGGGCAAGGTGTCACAAGGTGTGCCCGTAGACGAGCGACAGACGAGCAATAGACGAGCGATAGACGAGCGATAAACGAGCGATAGACCAGGGCGGTCTATCGCTCGTCTATCGCCCTTCTCCCCGCGCTAAATAGACCGTTCGCCGTTTATTTGGGCCCAGGTTTCCGACGAAGGCCGCGGCGTGGATCGAACCGAAGAAGTTGGAAGAACGCCTGGCCTGCCAGATTTCTCTCAATTCCTCTCCCTTCCCCCTTTCCATGCTCCCGTTGCAGCCGCCCCTGCCCCCGTTGCAGCCGTCTTGCCCGCCCATGCCCCCCGCCCCCGCGCCCCGCCGCTGATCCCAGGGGCTCGCCGCTACGGCGGGGAACCCGCGCAATACGAATTGAGAGTAACCGCAAAGCCGTCTAAAGCTAAGTGAAGCTATCTAATGCTAAGTGTTGACAAGAAACCAGAGCCGAAATGATTAACCAAACCTAATTGAACCTTTCGCCGCGCTATGTGGTTAACAACTGGATAGAACCAGGTGCGCCAACAATTATAATTCCGATCGCAAGCCTGGCAACTACATCGATTCAATTGGTATGTGAATTTTACGCATGACTGTTTCCGCCCAAGCTGCTCGGTTTACGAATGCGCTTGCCAGACTTATAACTGCGCTTGCCGGACTTACGTGCATGCTTATAAGTATGCAACGTGCGGCCGCGCGTGAAGTAGAAATCTCCAATCGCCGTCGGCCCCCGCTGCCGAAAAGCCGCCGCGCGGAATGGCCGCCGCGGGCGGCCGTCTGGCAGGGGGGCGCCGCAGGCCCTAATGGCGCCCGGCCGCCTCCCGGGCCCGCCGCGGGCGTCGATGGCCGCGCGAATCCCCCCCAGCCCTCGGGGTCGAACTGTCTAATCTCCTGAGGGATGCGGATGACGCTGGCTCTGCAACTCGAGCCTCGCGCGCGCCCCCTGCCGTCGGCAGGCGGTCGTTGACGTCCGTCGCCGGGCCGGCGCCGACGTGCGCAGCCATGCCCAGCGCGCGGAATATGCAGGTATACCTTTGTGTATATATACATATATATATATATATATATATATATATATATACTTATATGGAGGACGTACTAACCCAGCCAGACCCCCCTGTCTTCGAAGGGATGGGGATCGCCGGGGCCTGACACCCTGCCCCTTGCCCCCACCGCCCACACAGAATGCGCCCGCGCTTCCCCGGTCTCGCAGACGGTTCCACGCGCCCCGCGCCCGGGCGAACGAGATCGGGCATCTGGCCCGCTGCTTCGTCGCCGCCTCCGCGGCCGCCCACCGCCCTGATGCGGGGTCGCGCGAAGGGGGGCGCATGAGCTCCGCGCCCGCTAGCCCGCGGCCCCGCCCCCCCTTTGAGATCGAGGCGCGCTGCTCGCCCTCCTCTGTTTGGCAAGACCGCGCCGCCCCCCCCCCCCCCCCGCAGGGCCGCGCGTGGGTTGGCGCGCTGCGGCGACGTCCCCCGGGCCTCTGCAGCCTCCAACCTCCGGCCCGATGCCGCCGTGGCTCTTCGTCTTTTCATGCAGAGGGCCTGCCAGCCAGGGCCCGGGGGCGGCCCGCGGCCCTTTCGAACCGGGCCCCGCCGCCAACGCCGGATCTCCGCCCCCACGCGCGGCCTGCATGGGTTGGAATGGCTATTCCCCGTCATGCCCAGGCGCGTGCGCCCGACTGGTC